GTGGTCGCAGCGGCTAAACGTTGTTCGTTTGGGTGTAGCGATCTGTCGCTAAAACCTACGACCAGTCGCTAAAAAATCTAGCGACTAAAAATTTTGGTTGCTGGTCGCTGTGATTGTCAAACGAACAACATTCAGTCGCAGTCGGCAAACGAACAGGTGGGCCAGAGTTGCAGGAATGAAGAAGTGAGTTTTTCGGTTAAACGGGTTGGATCGGCTTTTATCTCTGCGATCATAAGAATGTTAAAAGGAACCGGTTAGGTGCTTGTCTTTTTCTGTTTTGCTGCGGTTATTTTTGTTTGATTTGGACTGGATAAGTTCGGCTTAACCGGATAAAGAATTAAACCGGTTTATTATATTGTCGAACGAGTTTAGTGAAATCTTGGAGAATGTGATGAACAGAGCAAAACTTTATAAGCACAAAAAATAAAGTGAAAATCTCAACTTGAGCTTTATTGCTCAGACGCAATACGCGAGGGTTGAGTTCGCAGCGATGGTTGGGTGGGCGATAGCGCTTCACGGCGGTGCCGGAGATATTCCGATTGATTTACCGGAAAACCGACGTATCCCTCGCGAGATCGCCCTCCGTCACTGCCTCGATATCGGCGTTGCCGCCCTCAAATCCGGCAAGCCTCCACTGGACGTCGCTGAACTCGTCGTACTTCTCTCTTTCTCTCTCGATTTATGGCTTCGATTGGATCGCTGTGATTCATTTTTCATCATTTAGTTTGGAACAAACGATGAGGAAACTGAGACGAAATCAATCTAATCTTTGAGTCTGATTCATTTGTGTGAGAGTCACTCACATTAGAACAGTGCTTAATCTGAATTTTATCCATCAACACTATTAGATTTCTGAAAGTGATCAGTCACTGTGTATACGTTTGAGATTCGTCAGTCATCATCACTATACTCAGCTTGATATTAGACTGACTTACAAGTCATTATTCATTACTCTTATTATGAAATTTGCAGTCTGCCCTTTTTTGAACTGAGTCTTATATACTTCTCTTTGGTTAATTTCGGTCCCTTGTAAGGTTCGTGAACTCGAAAACCACCCGGACTTCAATGCGGGTAAAGGTTCTGTTCTGACTACGGAAGGTACTGTTGAAATGGAAGCTTCCATTATGGATGGGAAATCAAAACGATGTGGAGCGGTCTCGGGCTTGACCACTGTCGTTAATCCCATCTCTTTAGCTCGACTCGTCATGGAAAAAACTCCTCATATCTATCTTGCATTCGATGCAGCCGAAGCATTCGCAAGAGCACATGTATAGTGTCTTTCATTTTTTTCTACTTTGCTGCTAAACCTTTCTCTAAACTCCGGTTTTCTAGGGTGTTGAGACGGTGGAATCAAGCCATTTCATAACTCCTGAAAACATTGCAAGGCTAAATCAGGCCAAAGAATTCAATCGAGTCCAGGTAACAAATGTTAATTGAGGTTTGTGTTTACTTCAGTGTCTTCTTGAGACTTATTCTGAGTTTGTCTTCGTGCGCTTCTCAAAAAGTTCTTTAAATTCCTTGAAAAACAGTTGGACTACACTGCCCCTACCCCGAAAGAACCGGAAAATTGTGGCGATAGTCAAATAGGAACGGTCGGATGTGTAGCTGTGGACAGTGCCGGAAATCTAGCTTCGGCTACATCAACGGGCGGTTATGTCAACAAAATGGTTGGCAGAATCGGGGATACACCAGTCATTGGCGCAGGAACATACGCTAATCATCTTTGTGCCGTCTCAGCCACGGGTAAAGGAGAAGAGATAATCCGTGGAACCGTGGCTAGAGACGTGGCTGCACTAATGGAGTTTAAGGGTTTGTCTTTAGCCGAGGCAGCGGCTTATGCTGTTGACCAATCGGGACCCAGAGGAACCTGTGGACTTGTTGCTGTCTCGGCCAATGGTGAAGTCGCTATGCCGTTTAACACCACGGGAATGTTCAGGGCTTGTGCCACCGAAGATGGTTACAATGAAGTCGCAATCTGGCCAAAGAACTGAAGCCATTAGACGGAAGAGGGGCTTTGTCTACTCACTCTGTTTTAATTCCTTCTCAGTTCATGATTTGCAAATGAGTGTTCGTTTTATTTTGCTTATTTTGGAGTTGGCCTTTAGAATTAAGTGTAAAAATTTGTATTAGTGTTCGATGAGTCTTGCTTCGTAAACTGATTAAACGTATTTCAGTTTGATTCTGATTAGTTCGGTATAAAGAATTTAAAAACTCTTAACAAAGAATTGAAGAGCAATACAATCACGGATATCACTTCAAGAACCTATCAATCAAAGATTCAAAATTAATAAAGTGGAAACAGAACAAAGAAGAAACAAGAATCAAGAACCTCAAGAACTCATTGATGTTTCCTTGTAGAACACACAAGAAACGTACCAAGTCACTGCACAAGAACCAAAACGAAAAGGTCAGTTCTCAGTACTTCAAAAAAAAAAAAAAAATCGAAATTTGCATTTCTCTTGATCCTTTGTAACAATTACGGTGACATAACACGATCGCGTTCACCTTCCTCGTTGGTCCACACACATACTGCTGTTTAGGCATCATAACCGTTGTTCCAGCGTTTCCAACGCTAATCTGAAACGCAGTCGCTGATTCAGAATCCAAAACGCCGCCTTTGCAGCAATTGGCGATCTTTTGGTTAAAAGGAACTCCAGGGAGTAAATCCACGACCCTCGGATTCCTAACGCAAGAATGAGGAATGTTCTGTTTGAATCTTGAACAATCTCCTTTCTCTGTGGTCTCTGCACCAAAAATGTTCAATATCCACTTCGTTTTGAGTCCATCTCCATCCCAATGTCCATCCCGGATGAGAAATCGACCGATCTTTTTGGTCATTGTTAATTGTTACCACGGCCTATTGAACACAATAAATATAAGGAATGCATATACTAAGTATGTGTGTCTGAAAATGGAAGATTCTTGTCTTATTGTATATGCATTTATGGTAAAATGGAAGATTTATAATCTCAGAAGCAATTGAAATTGGAGTGATTTATGTCCCCCATATATGATGAGACTATATTAGATTTTTCAAATGTGGGATTTATAACAGTTTTACATGAAAATGTGAGTTTTTATAAAGTAAGGTTAGATGAAAGAAGAGGATGCATGGTAGATCTTACAATATAGCCATCAGGACTCCAAACATGAAGGTCCCATTTGATTGAGATGTTACCATTGTTGCTAGTGTTGTAAGCTTCTACATTTCAGAGAGAGAAACAGAAATATAATCTGAAGAGTTAAGTTGATAAATTAATTAGCCTTACATCAAAAGATTAATCATATTACCTGAAGTGGAAAGCACAAGCAGGAACCATATGATCATGGTTGTGTAAACCAGACTGCTCCTAAAGAAGAGAGACTCCATTTTCTTAATTTTAATTTAGTTTCAGGGGGAGAAATGAAAAGCCTTTTTAAAAGAGATCGATTGTGTTGACTTTGATGACTCCATTAAAAAATGCCTTGCCTTGTCCCCCACGTTTAATTCCATTTAAGGGTTTTAAAACCTCATTCTTTGATCGTTCAAATACACAGAAACTTATAGTTGATTCATTCTTCTTGTCCGGCAAGTCATGTAAGATTTTATCAAACAAAGTCCTTTTCAGGAAATCGTCAGTCTTCAAATCATATATTATTTGGAAGAGACTAAGATAATCTGCCTTGAAGATCATGTCCTTGAAATTGCACAAGTAATATAGAGAAAATTGGTTTGTTTGATCCAGTTAAAAGAATATAGACTC